ACAGTGGAGAGACTATAGGCTGAGGCAGAGTGGTTAAAACACCGCAAGGTGAGGAGTGTTTTGAAGTACTGTAGATGTGTGCAGCTACAGGAACAGGAGAAACAGGGGTAACAGTGTGGCATGAGAGAAAGAAGACAGGGAAAAGACTGGGCAAGCAGTTCTACACTGACACTGACAGTGCAGACAAGAGCAGATGTGAAACAGAGATTTGTAATCTAATTTGTTAATGACTGGATAGTACATACTGTATTTCTTAATCACACTAGAAGCTACCTTGGGAAAGTATTTGCTCTGAGTGAAGAAATAATCCATTGGCGAATATATCTGACTGCTCGGAAAGAGAAAAAGAGAGGCAGGCACAATCTCATTCCCTGGAGTGTAAGAGCTGCAGGTGTCTGCCACATTGTAATTAATAATAACCAGCAATCAACTGATGGATTCTATGGGGCTTTTAGAATTGAAGGTAGATTTATTAAATCGCCTATTTAACAAAGAGCTCATATTTACTTTGATTATCAAAATGGTGTGTTGGGGAGAGCAAATATATTGAAAAGACATTAGAAAGAGAGGTGTGAGAAGAGAGTGAAATTCATAATTACTAAAGTATACAGCTCATCAGCTATAAGTGAGAAAGCTATTATAAAATAAACTTGAAATATATCATCTCCTAACAGCTGCTCCTCAACTCCCTGGCCTCTATCACTTGTAATTATATATCACTTGTAAGATTTTAATTGGGCTTATGATGGTACTGATTATACAGGTGCACTACAGCACATAAAAGGACACAGAAAAAGTTTGAAACCTTAAAAGGGCTGAAAGAAAGACAGACAGGAAGGCAGGAAATGAGAAGAATCTAGAAGGAGAAGAGAGGGAGAGAAGACAGAAGTAGTTGTGTGATTCATGGTGAATGGACATTTGGAAGACCAGGCTCTCTGTGCACATCCATACATCCATGTTCTAACCATTTTATCCTGTTCAGGGTCACAGGGGAGCCTAAGCCTATCCCAGAAAGCAACAGGTGCAAGGTGGCATACACCCCGGACCGGATACAAGTCCATCAGAGGGCAAACACACACACACACAGTACAGTACAGACACAAACTCGACACAAAAAGGACAGCAAGGCAGCCATGTCGACCACTGCATTACTGTGCTGCCCCTATCTGCACAAACGACGAGTTCAATTAAGGCACTGCACGCCAGCTTGATCAAAGCCACTCAGGAAGTGCCGCCAAGCAAAGAAGAATTAATCATTCATTTCTGCTGAACCCATTTTGACCAAAAGGGACTCTTGGGTTCCCTTTAAGACGAGTTTCGTACCTGTGGTAGCTCTCACTGTCAGGTATCAAATCAAGCTGTAATTCCACGTTGGAGGAATCGGAGCTCGCAGAGCAGTGACAGACATCAACAAGGACAATGACTGAGGTTCCCTTATTAAAATTCTTAATTAGATTTCACACACATCAGGACACAGACATCTGCCATCCAAAGCCTGATCACCAGGCTTAGTTTAGTTTCACAGATGAGCTACAAAGGCTGTCTGAAGGCCGCAGTACAGTATGTCACACAGTCCAGACCACACTAACTCATGTTTCTGACATTAGGCTTCAGGGAGATACGGTTACAAGTTGTTAGGTTGTTATAGCTGGATTTTCTTGTGGAACACTTTTGCAACAGTAGTTAAGTGCTAGATTTTTTTTCTCAAAACAGGCGTCAAGAGAGAACACATATTAACAGTGCGAAAGAACAAGGAGCTGGGGAGAGAGGGGGTTTAACAGAGATGGTTTTGTGCCGAGGCTCGTGGTTTTTTTGATGCAGCTCATTTACTCTGGCTAAATTGCTCATCGATTGCCGGGCGGCTGAGCTCTCTGCTCAAGCATTGATCTTCCTTTCCTGGCCTCTAGACACACTGAAATTTGTCACCCAACATCACACCCAACCCAGTTCTGCTTACTTTGTATTGTCTTTCTGTGAGACTGTGTTCGGAGCATTTGGACAGGGGCAGATGCTTTCGTTTGAATCTGTTGATTAAGTGATGCCTGAGAGAGCAGCAGGGGGCTTCTGGCATGATAGTCTCCAAGATATCATGTGCAATTGTAAGTTTTCCAGTTAGTGATGGCTCTTACAGTATGTGAACTTAAGGAGTTACCTAACTCATTGAAGATTCTTTCTTGATTAATGTAGGTTTTACTCTTCGTCCCTGCTACAATTTCAACCAATTAATTGAGATTCCCTTAAGAGGCACTGGGGTGATTTGAGTGGTAAGGAAACAATTCATCTTTTAAAATGGATCATATTAAGGCCACGGCCTATTTGTCTTCAGATGTAACCCTAACTTCAAGGCATGCATTAAAACAGCAGATCCTACCCGACGCTGAAGCAAATGAACCCTGAAATCCGAAAATCAAGAACTTGCAGAAACTGCACTTGTTTGATTGTTTATGTTTTTATATGCTTAACTGGGGATAATGGCTGACGGTCACAGTCTGGACCCGAATTTGCAGAATTGCTAAATCATTCAAAATGAAACGACAAGGGCAGCAGAAATCTTGTCGGCATCACAGTGTGAACCCAGTAGTATATATATTGGCACAGCATTCCCTCTGTTTTCTAACCACTTCTTCCAATTCAGGGATCAGAGCCGGCAAGCAACAGGACGCCAGTCCATTACAGGGCACGCGCGCACACACACACACACACACACACACACACACACACACCAGGCTGATTAATCTACCAGTGTGTCACGGACAGTGGGAGGAAACTGGGGCACCAGGAGGAAACTTGTGCGAACACAGGGAGAACATATGGACTCCACACATATCGCGCTCCAGATACGGAACTGAACCCAGCGCCCCAGCGCTGAAAGCCACTGCACCACTCTGCCCCCCCTGAAGACTCCGTCTACCGCGAACGTCTACTACGCGTGATTTGAAAATTAGGTTTAACAAGGAACTTGATCAAAAATCTTCTGAAAGTCAAAATGTTCCATATGAAACACTCTGTTGGTATCCACTACTGTTATTGGTTATTCAAAGATCTCTACCACATTAGCTAAGCTTGGCTAGCTAAGCAGAACTCTGCAGTACAGTAAATGCGTATTTATTCGTGGCATGAGATTCTAAAAAAGACTACTGTGACACCCAGGTGGGCATGTTTTAACGGGATCTTTAAAATAGGTAGGTCCATGACAAGAGACACACCGAGGGTTCAAAAACAGTGTTCTTTAAATAGTA